CACCTTCCCCTCCTACAGATACAATATTACCTTCCATAATATAAAACCCCTCTTCTGCCATCCTCTTCCACTTATATAATGGTACCCGGTACTTTCTATCTTAGCCACATTTTTGTCCCTCCTGTTCCAACCCTCTCCCCTCCCATAGATATAGTGGTTCAACCAGAATGGCGATTAGTGTATCCCTGTACGTACCTGCTGTGTCGCTTCTTGTGTGACGCTCTTTAGGAAATCCTCGTTGGTTGGATACATGGAGCACGCAAACATGAAATCCTGCCATATCATAATGCCAAGCTCGTCAGCTATATTGTAAAACGCATCCTGTTCGTAAATACCACCTCCCCAGACACGTAGAGCATTCATATTGGCGTCCGCAGCTGATTGGAGGAGATTTTGTAATACGGTTTTGTTGACTCGTTCTTGGAATGCATCGGCAGGAATCCAGTTTGATCCTTTCAGGAAGATGGGTTTATCGTTTATCTTAAAATAGAAGCTCAGACCTATAAAGAATTATAATTAATATAATTAAGAGTTCAAAAACAATTAATCCATTTTCTGAACTTCTGGAAATTCTGTGTTATGAGTGAAACTAAATCGGAATAACAATGGTCATACATTGTATACCGGTAGTTGTGTTAAAACAATATTGCGTGAGATTCAACTTTTTGGGGTATTTAAACCCTTCATACTGTAAAATGACTAATTTTCACTGGGTTTAAATTTCACTGATTTACCATTTCAGGCATATTTAGTGGGTTTTAAATTCATGGTTTCGTCATTTAGATAATGTGTTCTATGCTAAATTTTACAGATTCACTGGGTTTTAATTTAGCGCATTTTCCAGTCAGCGAAATAAGCTAAATTAAAACCCAGGGAATAATTAACCCTTTTACAGTAATGTGCTATACCATACACATTTGATGATGGTCAATTTTGATAAATTATGGTATGTCATATTCCCCTCAGAAAGATTTGCATATTGACATTGAACTACAAAAGAAAGAACTTCAAGCTCATAATCATATTGTTTGATTATTGTGGCAGACATTTGATATGCACCATTCACGCAAAATCTCATAAAAAGTTCACAAATTCTACAAAGGTGCTATAAGATTTAGCATGCCTTTTAACATGAATATTGACATTTATTTTGTTTATAAAAACATAAATTTTGCTTCACCAAATTATAAATTTCACAACTATACTAAGATTTTTCAATATAACGATAACTTTTGCAATGTGTGATTTTTTTTTGTGACAATGAAGAGCCAGGAAATATTTATCGAAAAACGTCTTTTTTCCACCTTAAAAAAATAGAATTTTTCAGCAATTTTTCAGATGAAAATTTCTCAGTGTTCGAACAAGTTTAGTGTAAGAAATGTTATAAAAATAAAATGTACTATAATGCATATTAATAATCAAGATATGATATACAAAAAATGTATTTTTGGGTAAAAAGTGACCTTAACCATTTCACCAGCACTTTCTCGCCAAAACTAGAAAAACCCTGAAGTTATACCCGGACTGTACTGTACATATATCATACATCAATATTAACTTTTTCACCACCAGACTTTCTCGTCCAAACTTTGTTGCGCTTTTTTCTTATATTCTTATATTTCTGGAAATGAACCCTAACTTTGAGCCAACAGACAAAATTTCAGTAAATTTTCAATTTTTACTCAAAAATTTGTCTATTTTTGTCCCAATCTTATAAAGGAAAGTGCAGACTATAAATGGGACTATTTTGTGGATTTGTGATAAAAAGCGGAAACTGGTGGTGAAAAAGGTTGACGTACAAGAATTATAGGATAACGTTCGTATATCCTACCGTTAGCTGCCGCTACGTTATTAGCCGTTATTGGTTCCTGCACTAATTCAACAGTGCGGAAACCGACACGGAATCTCCGCGTAGATTTCTCTTCAAAAGTGGGACAGGTCAGTTGCACCATTACCTCATACAAATGTTGTTCGCCATATCCTCGGGGCCACCATGTCTTCGCCTAGAAATCATTAAAATTAAAAATAAGCCCGAACAGAACTGGTGTGTGGAATAAAGAACTGATAAAACTAAGATTACACACACATGCATGACTATAATAGACCATTTCCCGTTTACTGAGAGATCCCACGTCATACGAGAAATTAAACGTGAAACTGGACAAACAAAGGTCATAGAATCATAGTGAAGTGTGGAACTATTTTAATTCGTATGTTCACACTTAAAGCGGGGGTGTCGTCACCTACGCATGCGCCAGGTGGCCATAGCGTGTCGTTGTTTACAAACATGCATCTACCCATGAGCCTTTGCGTTCTTAGCGTGTGTTGTTATCGTCGCTTGGGACTCAATTCCCGCACGTGCGCAGGTGACGACCTTCTCGCTTTAATAATGACTTACTCTAGACATTTAATGACAACCAATCAATCAATCAATCAATCAATCAATCTCGATTAATGAAGGATATCTCAATACCATATTACTCTTTGAATGATCTGCATTTCGACACTAAACTATAAAAAATAAGAATCCAAATTCAAATCATTTTTTTGAACAATTTTTGCGACAATGATTTGATCTATGTTTTTTACGCATTACACAGAGTTTCTCAATGAACGATAAATCACCTATTATTGAAAATTCTCGGAGCGGTTCAGAAATTCTATTCTCAGAAAACTGTCTTAGCAACATAGAACATTCTGTAACGTAACTCCACCCCCCACCCCCCAAGAATACTTGAATAGTACATGTACCATTTAAAATACCGTACTTCCACGATCACCCCAGAACATAAGCACACCTATTATCATCAAACATTTAAAGAGTTGAGGGCATCCCTGGTTGTAGGACCAGGGTATTTTTACCAGGTGTAAAAATATTTCAATGCATAAAAATCGTGTTAGGTAAGGTTGAAACAGGCTGTTTGGTTTATGCTAGTACAAGAAAACTCATTAATTTTGTAGGCAAGTATTACAATACTCTTTCTGCTCTGTTATTACTCAGGATGAACCCATTGTTGCAATACTGAAGTAATCCATATCTCTTTAAGTGGTAGTTTTCGAAACACCAAATATGTGACTACCATGTGTATGGGGGGGGGGGGGGGGGGGGGG